TCAAATGAGATCAATTAAACAGGCTAAAGAGCCTGGCGCCTTGGTTGCCACGGTACATGGTTCATTCATTATTCATCCTTGATTCTCCCAAAAGCACGAGCTAAAGGAATAGGACAAAGGGGAGCCGTGTGACAGCCTGTGTCCTGGAGAGTTACCGAAGTGGCCTCTTCTCTCTCTCCTCTCCTCTCCAATATCTGTGTCTCTCTCTTCTCTCCTGTCTGTCTGTCTCTCTGTGTCTTTCACTCTCTCCTTTGAGACAGGGCCCCTCTCTATATAGCTCAGGTTGACCACCAACTCATGACTGTCCCGCCTTAACCTCCTAAGTGCTAGGACTACAGATGTGTGCCACGTCTGGCTATTTGGGGCCCTTCTAAGGAGGAAGAGCGATGCTAGGGGACCATGTCCTGGGTGAGCCATTCTTTGACTTGTCACCTCCCTTTTTGTCCCAGTCTTCTGGCACAGGCAGTCCACACTGTTCCCAGCCACAATGCCCAGATGGAGCGCACGTAATGGGCCTGACACTGTGCCAAGTTCTATGCATCCTTCACTTAACGTTCACAACAACCCCATAAAAGAGCCACGTGAATAGTGCAGTGTGAGAGAGCAAACCAAGCCACACACGAGATAAGCGTCAAGACAGAAACCTGTGTCTGCTGGGTCCAACTTTTGAGTTGTAGCCACTTACACTATACTGTCCCCTTCACGAGCTAGTATGGCCCTTGTCACGTGGTATGGGTAGCTGAACCTGTCAGTCCCACAGAGCACACTGCCAGCCTGTCAGAGGCAGGAACTGCGGCTCTTTTGTCTGTGTACCCTGAGCAATGGCTCAGGCCTGGCTAGGGATGAATGGATGGATGAAGAATGTGCCTCTCAAGGCTCCCAGGAAGGAGCCAGCACCATTGTTTTCTCTGGGTCAACACAACCTATAAATTCCATTCCTAACCAGGGAGGACAGGCTGGGTTGGGGAAGGCTGCCCCCTATAGCCCAGCCCTCACTATTATGGTATTTAGCCCTGGGACCTGGACAAGTTCTTCCAGAAGGAAGAGACAATGCCAGAACTCTGAGGTGGAAAGCCATCCCACCTCCCACAGCCACAGCCTTCTGCAGCATCAAAGCCTCGTGGTGTTTATTGTGGAGTTTTCCATAAACCTTGACCATTGGACTTAGCCTCACGTTTATCAGTGTGGCGTAGGCACAATTCCTTAATGACCCAGAATGCACCTGCTGCTTACTCTTCACTTTAGATCAAAATAGTATTCTGGTAATGGAGGGGCTCGAATTCCAGCTATCTCTGTAGTGTGTGTGTGTGTGTGTGTGTGTGTGTGTGTGTGTGTGTGCGCGCACACGCGTGCGAGCAATGGTAGAACATGCCTTTAATCCCAGCACTCAGAAGGCAGAGGAAGGCAGAAATCTGTGAGTAGGTGGCCAGTCTCATCTACAGAGTTAGTTTCAGGACAGTCAGGACTACATAGAGAAAACCTGTCTCAAAAACCATGATGATGATGATGATGATGATGATGACGACAATGAAGGTAGCTGAACAAGCCAAGGCAGCAAGCTAGTGAACACTGTTCTTCCATGGTCTCTGCTTGGGTCCCTGCTTCCAGGTTCCTGCCTTGACTTCCCCTGATGATGGAAGGGCAAGATGAAATAATTCTTTCCTCCCTAAAATGGAACATTCCAGAGCAAGGAGAAAAAGGACAAAGAGAATGGACATGGATTATGATATAGAGTAAACAAAAATAGCCAGGCCACACCCATAGACCCAATATTCAAAGGGCTGATAATGAATTAGAGGCCAACCTGGGCTACATAAAGAACCCTTCCTTGTCTAAAAAGAAAAGAAAAAGAGGGGAGGGGAAGAAAGACCCAAATCATACAACAAAAATACAAATAAAATGAACAAAACTAGGGCCAGTGGGTGGGTAACCATATTTGCTGTGAAGTGGCCTCAACTCTCAAAAAGAGACAGACCCAAATAGAATGATTTAAAGAATAACTTGTTTTTGAAAATAAGCATTTTAATTTTAAACGTTTTCAAAAGATCCGGAAGCAGAGACTGATGATTCAAATATTTGGGTCCTTTTTCCCTCCAAGAAAGATAATACTTCAATTCTAAACTAGGGTTTTAGTGCTGACAGATAAAAAGCCGGAAACTGTCATTCCCAGATGGTCATCTAGAAAAAGTTGGACAAACTGAAAATCAATAACACTTCTTGGCCCATCAGGGAGTTGGGTTTGGGGGTAAGCTGCTGCCCCGGAACCTGCAGAGACAGCTGGCATCTGCCGCCATGGAGCAGAAGTTAACTGCAGAGGCTGAGGAAGAGCCCTAGAGACACCAACCTGAGTGTGACTGCCACGGGCCAGCAGCGCAGACTCACAGACTAGGATTTCACCGGAGGATCCCCACCGTCGCTGAACTGCCGAGGCGATAACACAAGAATGGTGGGAGCAGCTGGAAAGACGGAGAGACGCAGTGATTTCCCTATGAATACAGTGACTAAGGGAAGCCCCGTGTCAAGAGGGAGGAAAAAATGCTGGAGGGTTTTAATGTTATGGACTTATTTAAGATAATGCATTCAGGGCTATCGTTAATAGAGAAGAAAGGTGTGGCAATGTGTGGATGACATAAGCAGAGAGATGGTAAGTGTAACAGAGGGGCCGAGGAGATGGCCCAGTGGTTAAGAGTATTCACTGCTCTTGCAGGGGACCTGGCTCGGTTCCCAGCACCCACGGTGGCTCACAACCACCTGTAAATCTGATTTCAGGGGTCCGATACCTACTTCTGGCCTTCAAGGGCTCGGGCCTGCATGTAATTCTCATAAACTTATCCGGGCACGCATATACACACGTAAATTTTTAAAGTAAATATTTTCTAAAGGTGTATCAGCAATGACCTCAGTGGGCTTGGCAGGAAGGCTAGACATGCCTGAAGAAAGAAACGATAAGCTTGGAGACAGGACAGTTCAAAGGTCCCACATGGAAACACAGATGCCCCTCCCCCCAGTGAAAACACAAAGATGAAAATAAAACTAATAGAAAAGTTGGGAACCGTGCGACAATTTCCAGTGCTATAGCGTACATGTGGCTGGAATGCCAGGAGAATAAAGAGAAAACAAAGCTGAAGAAATCTGTGAGGTCCTGGCTGCTGAGAATTTTCAAAGAGTAGTAACAGAAACCAAACCACAGATCTTAAACAGCAAACAGCTACAGATTAAAAGATTTTTATTATGTTTAATTATGTGTATGTACATACATACGCGCACATTGAGTGCAGAGCCCATGGCAGCCAGAAGAGGGCGTCAAGTTGCCCCTGGAGCCAGAGTCACTGGAGGTTGTGAACTGCCCAACACAGGTTTACACTCTTAATCACAGAGCCATCTTTCCACGCTTCCAGAATAAAATTTTAAAACCCTATGCCAAGTCGTATCATTTCCACATGACACCCAAGGGCAAAAAGATCTTGAAAGACTGAAGGAGAGAAAAATGGCCTTCACATGGGGACAAGAACAAATGGTTTCAGCAAGCATCTCACCGGAAAGTACGCTAGCAGGAGAGAGTAACACCATATTTTACGGTGATTGTGAACTTAGAATCTATTCAGATTTTCTCAGACAAACAACTGAGGGTCTTATCATCAAATGGAATGAATGCCAACAGTCAAATGTCCTGGCCGAGAGCTCCTGTGGTGTTTGGAGGCAGACACCAGAGCTGTCTCCTCACCCAGAGAGTATACTACTTGCATTTACTAAGCTCTGAGTATATTCCGGGCACTGTTCCAGGCCCGTGAATTAACTCACTAAATCTTCAGAGCCAGGGCTGGACAGATGGCTCAGCGGTTAACAGTGCTTGCTGCTTTTGCAGAGGGCTGGAGTTCCCACATCCAGCATCTCACAACTGCTTGTAACTCAGAGGGACTTCTGGAGGCACCTCCACCGTGTGTACACACACACACAGACACACACACACACACACACACAGACACAGACACACACAGACACACACACACAGACACACAGACACACACACACACACACAGACACACACACACACACACACACAGACACACACACATACACATAAATAAAATATTTTGGGGGTATTTCGGTTTTGTTTTTGAGAGACGGTCTCACCACGTAGCCCTGGCTGGCCTGGAACTCACAGAGCTCTGCCCACCTCTACCTCTGCCTTCTGAGTACTGGGATTAAAGGCATGCGCCACCACACCTAGCAAAATACGTCTTTTTGAAAACATATAAGCTGGGTGTGGTGGCGCACGCACTTAATCCCAGGGCTTGGGAGACAGAGGCAGGGGTATCTCTGTGATTTCGAGGCCAGCCTTGTTTACAAAGCAACTCCAGGAGAGCCAGGGCTATTACACAAAGAAACTCTGTCTCGGGGAGGGGGGGGAAGCCAACAAACAACAACAAATTAAATATATATATATGTTTACATATATCCACACATATATGTGCCATATATGTACATATACATACATACATGTGATATATATAAACACCTATGATATATCACAACAACATAGGCCATTACAATCATCTCTCTATTTTGCAGTACCGGGATCAGAACTCTGGGCCTTGCACACATTAAGCAAGCACTCTGCCACTGGGCTATAGCTCCAGCAAGCGCCCCCCCCCACCCCATTTCACCCCACGTCACCCCCCCTCCCGCCAACCTCCTTAAGAAACTTTAAGTGTCTGGCCCAATGTTACAACTTTCAAAGTTGAGGTCAGAATTCCGGATCCTGTGCCCTTACCAGCCTGCCTCTCCTGAGTTTCTTAACTTTGGGGTCATATGTCTTGAGAGGGTCTGTGTTGTCTCCCTCAGCTGAGCAGAAGTCTGCCTACTTCAAAGATCTCAGCGCCCACTTTCTGTCAGCCTCTACTAGCCTCAGGCCAGTTATTTATCGCCTCTCTAGAGACCAAAGGGAAAAGCGGCCCCACCACGGCAGGCGCAGGCGAAGAGAGCCGAGTTGAGCGGTGAGGGAGCCGCTGGGTCACTGAGGATGGGGAACTCGGAGCTCCGGGACCACGGCGTCCGGAGGACGCATCAGTGCAGCTAACACCCCGGAATGCGATGCGCACCTATATCCTTCAGCTGGCCTCAACATCTTGCGTCGCTCCCAGCATCTTGGAGTCACAAGACAGGTGATCCCTGGCTGAGTATCTCAGAACTCTGGTCCCGGATGCACTACCGAGATTCTCCTGCTGAACTCTGGAATCTCGGGGGCAGAAGCCGGTGGAGACCTTCCCAGGCAGCCTTAGGAGCTGTCCAGTGCTGATCACGGATGCCCCCGGCCCCGGGGTGCTCGGACCAGAGCCTGCCGCGCCCCGCAGAGCCCCGGGCTGTGCTGCTAGGAGCACTGACGCAGAGCGCTGGGAAAGCTGGGAGCAGTTGGCTCTGAGCTGGACATGGAGCTGCAGAGACCGGACTCCTACCAGGGCGGAGCTGGCCCTCACTTCAGCGAGCATGTCCTACATAAGGTAAAATTCTCCTCCGGGCGCCCACCTCAACTTCTCTCTGCTCCCCTGACTTTTGGCTGCGGGACTTAAAAAAAGAAACTAGCTGGTGTTTGTGATTCTGGGCAAAGCCCTTCTGTGTGATGCTGTTTGATGCTCAAAAATACGTGTGCGCTGGGGGAGGGGCCGCCTCCGGAGGCCCAAATTATCGGGTGCTGCATTCATTCATGCAGTTAACCCTCTCCTCCCCACACGCATCTCTATCTTTCTCCCTTTCTTCTGCCACTTGGAATCCTGTGCGCGCGAGCTCTCCCTAAGCTTCGTGGGAGGCTGTGTTTCTCCTCCCTGGTGAGTCTGTAATCTCCAGCTCCATATAATCTGGGGGCGGTGGTCCACCTGGCCTATGCAGTCATAGATAGCGGTGATCAGTAGCTGGAAATGAGGTGCACGCCTGTAATCCTAGCAGGAGGCAGATGGTGCATGAGTTCAAGAGTACTCATGAGTTCAAGACCAACTTGGGCTACATAGCAAGTTCCAGGTCAGTCTTGGCTATGTCAAGACTGTGTGTGTGTGTGTGAGAGAGAGAGAGAGAGAGAGAGAGAGAGAGAGAGAGAGAGAGAGACAGGCAGAGAGAGAGAGAATGGGATTAGTGTTCAAATTGCAGACAAATTGCTGTATTCAAAGTAGCTGTACCCTACCCCCCCACACACAGAGGTCTATAGATTCGACCCTTGAAATAACCCAATTTGTCTTTCTCTGTCTTAAAATTAGAGTTCAGAGAGGCAAAGTGACTAAAAGTCAGGGACCATGAGTCCAAGCCGAGCCTCTGTTCGCCGTACCCTTCAGAACCTCTCAGAGGAGTGTGGTCCCTGGGCCAGCAGCTCCAGTGTCACCTGGGAGTCTGTTAGGAAGTGGCAGCTCAGACCTGCTGAATGATGCTGCATTTTAACAAGATCCCAGGGGGAAAACTTGGGCATCTAAGTTTGAGACGCAAGCCTTGTGCCCTACTGGCTACTTCTGATCCAAATGACAGAAAATCCACCAGTGGGGGAGCGCGTGAATGAGTTTGAGAAGCCTGGGTGACCTTTCCCTCCAACTCTCTGAACATTCAAAGCCCAGGGAAGAAGTCTGAGGGTGTGATGCAAACCAGAATAAGGTCTGCGTTCTTGGAGACTGTGTGTGTAGCCCCCCTGTAAAACACATGAAAACAGGGGACTGTAACAACACGTCCAATGACAAACCAGCTTGGTGACTAAATATAAGTATATGTGTTTCTCTGCTATTGAAAAAGACTTACTTATTTCTACTTTATATGCATGGGTGTTTTGTCTACAGGTAAGTCCATGTGCCGTGGCCTGCAGTGCTGGCAGAGTCCAGAACAGGGCATCAAGTCCCTGGAACTGGAGTTACAGATGGATGGCAAACCACCACATGGGTGCTGGCAACAGGACCCGGGTCCTCTGGAGGAGCAGCCGGTGCTCCTTACCACTGAGCCATCTCTCTAGGCACAGGGTTTCTCTGTGTAGCCTTGGCTGGCCTTTGCCTCCCTGATGGGATTACAGGCTTGTCCCCTGTACCCTGCATGGTTCCTCTAATATTAAAGCATGATAGAAAGATATAAATATTCACTGTTGAAAGATTTAAGACTGGGAACTCACGGTTTTCAAATTATTGATCAGGTGTAGTCCTTCCTGCTACTCTCATCTACGCATGAAAACCTTCGCTTCCTTTGGGCTTATTGATCAGCAGAAGGAGAGTGATCTTATTCTAACAGGTCCCATTCTGCCTGAAAACAAGTGTCCACTTACTATAGTGAATGCCTGATCTTTTCAGTGTGGTTGTAAGCATCTTGACAGGAGTTTATCTTGAACATACGTGGTATTCAATGCAGTGACGTGTGTGTGTGTGTGTGTGTGCAGGAAAATATCTTTTTGCATGGTGCTGACAACCTCCTCTTAGAATTATTTTATCCTTTCACGTGAACTATTATTATTATCATTATTTTATTACTATTATGATCCACCTGCTAAACAATTGTAAAAGGTCAGGGCATCAACACAGTGGGGTTGTTTTTAACTTTCTGATATACCGGAGTCCAAGAAATTCCTGTTGACTCATTAGAATGTACTAGCCGAGAGAGGCAGGTCTCCTGCACAGCACAGGTGGCGAGGCGTGCGCCTATATGTTTGAGTACCTGAGCATGTGAATGTGGAGACCATTGGACGGTGTCCAGTGTCTTCTTCTATTGTGTTCCATCTCGCTTTTTGAGACAGCATCTCCCGCTGACTCAGGAACTCAGCAGCAGGGTAGACTGGCTGGTCAGTGAGCCGCTGGGATCCTCCTGTATCCACCTCCTGGTGCTAAAATTAAAGCCATGGACTTCCACACCCGGCTCTTGATGTGAGTACTTAAGATCAAACCTTGGGTCTTTGTATTTGTGTGGCAAGAACCTCGCCCACTGAGCTCATTACAAAAACATGGCTGGCCGCCACAGAGCTCTGCCTGTCTCTGCCTCTAGGGTGCTAAGCTCATGCTAGGTCCTGTTTTGTTTTGTTTGGGGGGGGGAGTTGTTATTATTGTTTTTCTAGACAGGGTTTTACTGTGTAGCCCTGGCTGTACTAGACTCATAGTAGACCAGGCTGTCCTTGAACTCAGAGCTCTGCCTGCCTCTGAGTTCTTAGTGCTGGGATTAAAGATGTGGGCCAACACTGCCTGGCCTGTTTTGTTTTTCAAGACAGGGTCTCATGTAGCCCAGGCTGACCCTACCTCACTATGTGTCAGAGGCTGACCTTGAACTCAATGAGACCCATGTTCTGGGAGTCTAGGCAAATAGCAGTGTGTCCAGTTAAAGGGTTATGTTTGGTTAGTTGATTCGACTTTGGTTTAAAAGTTTATTTATTTTAATTACATGTGTATAATTTTTTATCTGCACGTATGTATGTGCACAATGCATAGTACATGTATGTTTAGTGCACATGGTGACCAGAAAGACATAGGATCCCCTGGAACTGAAGTTACAGCTGGTTGTAAACCACCATGTGGGTGCTGGGACTCAAACCTGGGTGCTCTGAAAGAGCAGCCAGTGCTCTTCACCCCTGAACCATCTCTCCAGACCCCTAGTCAGGATGCTATGTTTTTTTAATAAACTTTTTGCAGAAATATAGCAAAGATCCTGCTACCTGGTGGGTTACCAAGGAGGCAGCACAGCTGTGCACCAGCTCTTAGACGAAGAAGTAGAACCCTTCCACCTCCCAGAAAGCACCCTCATCTCCCCCCCCATACCCCTCCCTCACCTCAACCCCCCTTCCCTCCCTCACAGCGCTCCCTCCTCAGCTCCCAGAGATCAACCTTCAGAGGAAGAAGTATCCTCCAATGTTTGGTAAGAGTGGCCAGGCTGCAGAGGTGGCCTAGGAGCTTTCCAGACAAGAAACTGTACTGCATGATGGAGAGAGACCCCTGGCTTGAGCTCCCTCTGTCCCTAATTTGACTTTTAGCAGCAGCCGTAAACCTTACATATCTTTCCTTTCTTACTTACTTTTTATTAATTTTCAGTTAGAACACAAGCAAGTAGGTTTTGTGGAGACATCTTTATACGTGTATATCATTATCCTCTGTCCTTAGCTCCACCACACACACACACACACTTTTCCTTCTAAGCTATCAAATACTATCTGGCTTACTGTGTTTTGAGTTCAGATATCAGCATAATGCTAAGCAAGGGTGTGACCTTGGCAATATTGGACGCAGTCAGTAAACAGCAGCTGCTGTTAAAGCGCATATCTTGGGCTTTAAGGCAAGTTCAATGGTTGTGACATTCAGTTCCCACCTAAAGTGATGCTTTGTGAGAAAGCAGCAGTTCCACACCCTGAAACTCAGAAACCACACACACTCCCATGGGAACAGCTCTCATGAGCCACCCAGGCAGAGAGTATGACTTCCGTGCCAACATCCAGCTCCAGCCCCCCAGTGGGACTGTCCCTTTTCTCAGGGAGGTGGAGTGTGAGACCTGCTGAACCCCATCAACATTCACTTCTGAGGCTGGGGTTTCCACCTGAGCTTTGGGCAGCCTGGACCACAGGGACACAGTCACTAGTAGAGTGTGGCTCTGGTGCTGGGAACTGCTGGGACAGTCTCCGTTCATCTACCAAACCCTCGGAGTTTTTAAATAGAGTTTCTGTTGTTCTCACATATCTGAATATCTGATGCAGCTGAATAATTTAAAGCATGTGGACAGCGTGTTGCACTTTTCTCAGACCACACTCAGTCCCGTCTGGCAACCAGGTCACTGTCTCAAGCCGTGCAGGGCAACGAAGGCAGGGAGGGGCTCAGAAGCAGCTCTTGGGTTGCAGCCTTGCGGTTCCAGCCCAGACCGTGAGTTCTAGGCACAGAAAGGGTGGAGCTTTGGGCCCAGACAAGGCGGGACACAGGGACGGCAGCTCCTGCTTACTCATGCTAAGCTCGTCCCAGGAGGGTCAAGCGATTAATTACTAAGCTGAAGTTAGCCTCCTCCCTGCCTCTCAGGAAAACAAGGAGAGCGAAACCTTGGCTGTTCATTTGTCCCAGGCTTGGTTTTCGTTGAATGAAATTAGCAGAGAAATAAGGGCGAAGGGTCTGAGTCTGCTGTGGTACCTCCTCCAGTGGATGGTAAAGGGGGATGGGGGCCCTCAGCCAGCACCCCGCCCTCTCTTGAATTCCCATCTATCTCTGCTCTCGCTTTATAATTACATCCCACAGTATACCACACATCTCTCTCTATTCATTCATCAAACATATATCAAGCATTCCAAAGTGTAAGGAAGCGCTATGGAGCACTACATAGTGCTTGCATAAGGACCTGAGTTCGAACCCCAGCTTCTATATACAACCCAGACACTGCGGTGTGTGCTTGTACTCAGCTCTGGGGAGGCAGTCATAGGGTTTACTGGCCAAACCAGTGAGCTCCAGGTTCAAGAACAACCACAATAACAAAGCATGATAGAGGACGACACTCAACATTAGACTCATCACCCTCTCTCTCTCTCTCT